CGTCCCTATGCACAGCAAATAGCTGTTCCAAGCCAACAGCGGCGTCCATGTCACCGACAAGGCTCTAAACGTCTTATCTGTTCTTATGTTTAATTAAGTTTATGTATGTTATACTTTGCGCAACTTTGTAATTTGACTTTACTCTGAACAAGGTGCTGCATACAACTGCCTCTTCACCAGCGCTTCATCTTCCGCGGCAGTTTCACGAGCCCAGAGTTGCAAGCTACGACGTTGGCTTTCGGTGCTTTTAGTTACGGCAAAGCATCCACGCAATAGTCCAGCCTGCATGCCGCGTGCGGCTATGGCCAACATGCCCACCTGCGCAACGTGCTGGCGCACCTGGTCCTTCCACCAAGAAAATTTATATACACTTGTACAGGCGCATTTTGAGAATCGCACGCGCGCATCTGCGCGGCAAAATTCGCTCCTGGCTTTTGGGACGATGTACGAACTGTTTATTCGGCACAGTACGACCGGACACATTTGTGCGAGGGGCTGCTTAAACAAATACATGCAACCGGGGTACCCAATGCCTTTTCACAGCCCATCATTCTGGGCAGCCTCTTCATCACCCATCACCGTGGTGCACAAGGAGGGGGCATTGTGTGTGCCTATGCATTCATCCCTGGCACACTCCCAACACGGCTAAAAAATATATGCGAACTCCTCAGTGGCAGGCCCCATATATACAACTACACTCCCATGTGGATTCTGTACACGAGTGCCCCATTGAAGCTCTGCGCAGAGGCACCTGTGGGCAACAGCCTGACAAACGAGATGCGCTCCTGCAGAAAACACACCACTCTGGGAAAGGTTTTCACCCGTAAATTCATGTTTACCCGTAATCACGTGGTCTTCACATGTAATTACCGGCCAAGAAAATTTGTACACATGCTTATTTTTAAGTTGCCAAAGCATTCCTTTTATAAGGAATAACATAGGTGACATTTTGTTGGTTGCCCGTGCTGGAAGTCATCCACAGGTTACATTACCCGTAATCACAAGGTCTTGACCCGTAATCCCCCAAGCCGTAATGCACAGCACCCGTAAAATTTCACGGGCTTAATTGCGACGAAGACGTTTTATGCGTGTGTGTGTGTTACACGGTTGGCGGTGCGTGACCCCATACCTGTAAGACTACCCATACAAGCCGAGGGCCCAAGGGTAATACTACAACGCCTAAAAGCCACGGAGGAAAGGAAAACACCGCACATCAGCCCAGACTAGCGTCTAAAGGGGGTAATTGAGTTTCAGTGAGCCCACATACGTTCCAATATCCTCGCCAGACGTGCGGGTTCCCATTGCATGGCCTCCAACATGCTCTGTTGATGATCGAATCCCTCTTCAGCACGAATATCATTATAGGCTGGGCATTCCAATAACAGGGGTTCACATCCTCAATTCGGCTATTAGTACCACAACAGTGGCAAAACCGCTGCCCCCTGGGGACGTGGTACTTGCCCCTTCGTGCTCTGTTTGCCTCCAAAGCCCAGCAACATAAACGAAACTGCATTACCTTACGATGTGCTAACGAGGAATGAAAACCTTAGCATGTGTTGGCCACATGACGGCTGCGGCTCCCGAAAAGGGCAGCCCCATCCAGTGCTTATACTTCGCCATTTGCACTCCCGGTTGCTTCCCATCTGATGGGTAGCCTACTCAACAACCAGTCAACACGCTCCTTTACCCCCACGACTTCTTGCGGTATTCCACTCCAAATGTTGCACTCCAAGAAGGAAAACAGTTGTAACAGTGAGATTCCCCAACCCTCCCATTCTGGGTTGGTCAGGGCATTGGTTATCTCCTGCCGTAAAACGGCATGAGCAATGGATCCCACTTGCTTTTGAAGGCAGTTCCAGAAACGGAGGATCTGCTTCACCATGTAATATTGTAAGGGGAGTTCAGCCAGCTCCGCGTACAACCCCTTGATTGACGACATAATTGAGTTGGTGGGCACCCAGGACCCAGGACCTGCTACTGTGGCTGTACACACCCCTACACCCATCCTGGCACACTCCCTTTCTTCACTCAGCACCTCGATGCACCTTTGTGGTCGGTATACGAACCACTGCTGCCGGGGGGGCGCCCATCCAGCGATGCAAGTGGACCCTGCGGGACTCAGTGAACACCGTGA